AATGTTAACAAAATACTTCAAACTCCTGGTTTAGATATATGTGAAAGATATACTTTACCCCATTTACGAAAGATATATAAAAAATCTTTACATGAAGATTCCAAGCCAGAATTAAGACTTTGAGAATAAAGCAACCAAATTGAGTCCAGAAGTTATAGAAAATTTTAGTGAAATGCATGGAGAAAAAAGAAGTAATATTTTTACTGGAAGGGATAGTTTTATATAGACATATTTAATGATTTTTTAGATAAATTAGGGGTTGAACTTTAAAGAAGAAGCATAGTATATAAGGATATTAGAGATAAATTTAAATTTTTGATGAACCTGGATAAAAGAGATTCAGTTATTGAACTTAAATCAATGGAGTCCCTTATGTCATTATATAAAAATGAAGAACTATTTAGTGAATGCAGTCAATTTCAGCATTATTTAGATATAGTATGCTTTAAACAAAATGATTGTATCACTGCTTTTGAAATGTTGACACTAATTTTTGAAAAAAACTTTATTGATATATTTCCGAATCTTTATACAACTCTTAAAATTTACCTAACAATACTTATAACAAGATGCAAAGCAAATAGTCTTTTTCAAAAATGGCTTTTATAAAAAATATAGATCAACAATGACAGATGACAGATTAAATAACCTCTCAGTTCTGTCAATTGAATATGATATTACAAGATCCAGTTCCTATGCTGAAGCGATTTACAAATATGTATCAGTTAAGTGCAGAAGAAAACAATTTTTTTGATTTTGTTTATGTTATAATTACTTATGTAAATGTTATTTTTTTAGTTTTAATAGAATTCGATTTTTAAGTCTGTCTTGTCATTTGTTCACAAAAACATCAGGCTATTTCAGATATTTGAAAAACTTAGCTTCTTGGGTGCTAGGATAAGGCCCCAAAAGTTTGATCAATCTAGGGTCTCAAAAAATCACAGTTTGCCCCTGGTTACATACCCATTTTGATGTTTCTTCTTCGATTGAGTAATATTCCTATATAGTTTTAGTTGCTTCTTCAATCGACTGTGCATCAATTTCAATTTCTTTTTGACCGGATGAAAAATGTAAACTAGTTTCGACACCACTATGATTTAAATGGTTTTGTTCTTCTAAGGTCTTTCTTTTTTCCAACTTTTTCTTTAAATTTCTTTATTGAAGTGGTGTGCTCAATAGGAGAAAACATATTATTGTTTGACATAATTTAATAATTCAATTTCTTATAATAAGATACTGTCTAGAAGAATTCTTTATCTAGTATAAAGAAGGAAACTATTACTTCAAGGTTTCAATTAAGATATTCCTTAAAATTTGTTGTGTTGACAAATTTAATAAACATGATAAAAATTATGACAATTGAATCAATTAGAAAAATTCATTAAAATTCATTAAAAGTTAAGAGATTTTAAAAAATATCTATAATTTGTGACAATAAGGTAATAAAAATGTTTGTTTCTAGTGTTTCCCCCAACTTTTTTTTCTGAAGTAAATAACAATCAATTTTTTAACAGAATAACTCAGTCAAAAAAGCTGATATTTTTATAAAATATATAATTAATTAATATTATTTTATCTTTTGAAAAAAAAGGATAGTTTAACAAGATATATATTCAGTTAAACAATTTAAATTTAATACAAAACTTAAAATGTCTTATTTATACAATCTAATTGTCATCAATGTAAATATCTGCGATTTTAAGAGTAAGACTAAATAGTTTACGAATTATTACATTAAAAAATGAATGGAAGTGTTATATATAAGAAATCCGAAAATAGTTCCACACATAACGCATTTTTTATAAGTATGGAACCATCTATTTTTTATAAATTGATTTCACATAAATGTTTTTTATAATATATAATTTACTTCAGTTATAAGTTGAAAATCCTTTCTCCAAAATCTTTAAAAACAAATGTTGAAATTGATGCTTTTTAGAGGTTGTCTATTAATTATCTATATATAATTAAAATAAAATAGGGGGAGGGAGTCTAAAATTTTTTGACAAGTCTATTATTTCTTTTTTTGTTGTCTAATTTTCCTTTTTTTAAGTAATTAAATAAATTTAATTACTTAAAAAAAGGAAAATTACACAGTGTTTGCAGTCCTGTGTCACACGCTCGCTTAACCTTCAGCATTTTAATAAAGCTTTTATTTATATTCCTACTTTTTAAAAAAACGTAATTCTACTAATCAATTAACTATATTATGTATTATTATAATTAATTATAATTAAATAATGTATTATTCATATTATATAATTAATATATTTTTAGTTAACTAAAAAATTAGTCTAACAATTTTAGTTTGACGAAAAAATTAGTTAACTATTTGTAGTTAGAACAAAAAATTTTCGACTAATTCTAGTTAGACTTAAAAGTTAGTCAACTAACCTTAGCTAAACTAAAAAGTTAGTCGTCTAAAAAAAAAATTTTTAAGTCTAACTAATTTTAGTTAACTAAAAAGTTAGTCAAGTAATTTTAATTAGATTTAAATTTTTAACTAAAAAGTTAGTCCACTAATATTAGTTAGACTATAAAGTTTTTTTAGTTTAGTCAGTTACGATTTTTAGTTTTGGTGACAACACTACAGTTGTTGGATGCAGTTAAAACAAGATAACTCTTAAAATTTGAGAGACTTAAGAAAAAGAATTGCATGCTTGATTTAATTTTAAAGATTTTGAGATTTAGTAAAAGACATCTTAAAAAATACTGAATTTATAAAATTAAAAGTTTTTTAACATTTATGTTAATTAAACTAAATTTATAACAACTTGTTGACTGAAGATATTAATGGCACTTTCATACTTAAGGATATTTATATAAAAATGTCAAAAATTCAAAACATTCTAATTGCTTGTATATTTCTTAAAAAAACATTTGATTAAAAAATATCATCATGTTTTATGCACCTTAAAATGATGCGGCTAAAATGGGGCTGTGTCAATTCTTGAATCCATATAATAAACATGTTGATGTGCTTCCAATACTAGTTTTATCACTTGATTTATACTCATTCTGGGAGTGAGATGAGAAGTCAAGTAAATTTAGTTTAACGTTACTGCCAATTACATGTTGGACTTTTATAACTGAAAAATGTTGTGTTGTAGGGAGCTCTGTAATTTCTGAGGTCAATCAACTAAAATTAAAATTTCCAGAATTTGCTTTAAATCTGTGTTTAAACTTTCTTTGTTTATTCTGTAAATATAAACATAAGCTTATTATCACATTTAATGTTTAAAAAAAAATTTAGTAGACTATAAAAACATTGGCCTAAGATTCAGTAAAGTTTGAATGACTTGCTCTCATTATTTAGCATAGCATAAAGATTGCTTTCAGGTCTTAAGCATAATGTATTGTTTTTGATATTAAGCTTTTTCATCTAATTTTATAAGTGGCCACTTTTTCAGGAACTGAAACAATTCATTTGCAAGAAGCTTTATGATCAAATTGTGTCAACAAGTTTTTTAAAAGAGCTTTTAACAGAAGTTGATTTTAATATAGTGTGGATCCAATTAGGTATAGTTTTTTTTAAAAAAATTCTTCTAGTTTTACCACTAAACCACTTATTGGTGCAGTATCATCGAGAATAATAGCTTGCATACTTATACCTACACTGTTATGTTCTTGTAAAAACAAAACTAGCACCAGTCCTGTTATATGACCAATCCTAATCACAGTAACTGCACCATTAGGTCATTCAAGATTCAAGAAAGAAAAAAAAAAACTTGGTTTACTATATTATTTGATAAAAAAGATTGAAGTCAAAATCAACATTCTCAGCATAAGTTCACTTTGGTGAAATTTAAAAAATTTAATACAGTGACAGAAACTGTTGTTTCTGGAAAATTTTTGTCTCATTTTTGCAGTTGTTTCTTGTTAGCATAGTTTTAAAAATAAATTTTTTCTCAGAGCTTTCAAAAATTCATGCTTCAACAAATGTTAAGCAACTTTAAATCTTGTCTATTTGATGAGCTTATTAAACAAATAATAACTCTGACTCTTCAAGTATTTGTTATTATTATTTTTGTACTATTAATAGAATATTACTCTTTAGATGGTGGCAAACCATAATTGTGGCTTTTAATATGATCTTCAAAACTATGACTTTTAGCACTAAAATATCGGGTTTGGTAATTTATAAATGGTATCACTGAGTAAAGCATAAATTTTTCTTTCTTTTGATATACTAATTATATATTTGTTTTACTGTGAAAAAAACTTATATGCGTTTTACTATGAGTGATTGTTTTTTTATTATTTTGGATTTTAGTTGAATTTTTCTAAACATCTTTTAGTTTTATTGAGCAGTCAAATTTTTATTATTTGTTTTCAACTATTAATATAATTATTAAAAATTAAAACTCAATAATAAAACAACAAAAAAAACTTTTAGGGAAAAAAAGTTTCTTCAAGATTATAATAGTCAGGGCATGTCTAAAGGATGTCTGCTATGTCATTGGATTTTATTCAACATAAAATATGGCCATTAATTAGTTCAATATGTCCTTTAACTCACAAGTTTATAGAGCATTTCAAAGAAAAAGTTAATTCGTTGGAAATAATCATTTTCTTTCAAGTTAGGTGACCAAATACTATATTTGTAGAATTTTTCATATTACAAAATCCTTTGGATTCAAGAAAGGAAGATAGAGAGTTATTACAATATAAAGCTCTATAAAAACTATACAGCTTTTTATTGTAAAATATGGAGAATAATAAGTAATAATTTAAAACTTTTAGAAAAACAGCTTTATACTCATTTTAATTTTTTATGAACAATCAACATTCTATTCACAAAACAATAAAAATTTTATCATGATATAAAAGAAAGCTTTTACTTATAAAAGCAATAAAAGGCATTATGATTTTTGGTTTAAGAGTGCCTGTTTTCCCCAAGAACAAACAAGTATTTTATATTTAAGCAAACAATAAAGCAAACAATTGAGTAACATTTTTATAGTTACCAATAGACACATTTAATATTCAATAAAACTTACTAGTAGGATAGTTCGAACATTTCTAGTACCACTTCTTGCAGCAAGTTTTGTTAATACTCCTTCTTTTAAAAATGCCTATAAGAAATTCCAATCATTAGACAAAAATAAAAAAATCAAAAAATGCAAGAAAAAAAAAAAATTAAATTAAAAAAATATAAAAGTGCACCCTGCTAGCAGTAACCAAACTCTCTCCCCTCAATCCATCTACAATGCGCTCTTGAATGTTTAAAAGGACTTTAAATTTATCCTAAGTAAAAAAAAAAAAAATATATATATATATATACACACAAAATATACAAAGCACATACATTTTTTCAAGTGGAAGCAGAATAAAACAAAAAAAATTTTTATAGTTGAAAAGAAAAACAACAAATATTTTGGTACTTACAATAAGCATATATTGTATTAGTATATACCTAATAATAGTATTATTTTAGTACATATCAAAAAGATCTTTTTTAAAGTATGTACGCAGGTATGGAAGGAGGGGAAATTAAACAAAAACATACAAATGCATACAAAAATTATGCATTTATAAATCTTTGGGTAAATGTTCAAAAACAGCAAGTACATATGCAATTCAATAATCTCTTGTTTTTGATCTCTCCTAAAACTTTTTTTTTTTTTTAAAAATAACAAGAGTATTAAATTTGAAAAATTTGAAAAATTATGTTATTTAGCATAGATATGTCGAATTATTTAGATTTTTTTGTTTTTATTGTTTTAAAAATTTATGGGAAAGGGGAGACTTGATTTTGTAATAAATAATGCATACATACCCAGAAATGGGGTGGGAGGATCATTGAAAACATACAAGAGGGTTCTATATCAGTGTTTTACTGCTCAAGTATTTTATGGATGCTAACTAATACAAGTATTGAATTAGCATATACCTAATACTAGTATTAGATATATATGTATTATTACCTAATACTGCAAATTTGGGTTGGCACAATACTAGTATATTATGCTTGCTTTAATTTTTAAAATGTCAAAATAAATCCAGACAAAAAGAACAAAAAGTTTCATTTATAGAAAAAAAAATTTTTTTTTTTTTCTATATATAAAACTTTTAAGTAAATCCTGCTAAAGTCAATCTATGTAAAAATGCCACAGCAGGTGATTATTTAGGTGAGGTCATCAGTGACATTTCATATTTATATACATTCAGAGGAGATTTTATGAACTCTTTAACTATTTGACTATCATTATGATGTTTGCATAATTGTACATAAACTATGTACAATTATGTGTAAAAGAAAAAAATTTATGTCATAAGGATTACGTAAAAATTAAAAATGATAAAAAAATAAAAAGTAAGAAACATTGTTAAAAAGAACAAGTAAATAAATATATGCAACTAAGAAAGATACTACATTGTTTTTTGGTATAAATAAATTACTAAAATAAAAGATGCTACATTGTTTGAAATAGATGCTTGTTTTGGTAAAATTATAAACATAAAAAATTTGATCACTTTCATCTGATTATTATTATTTTGGAGTATAAAAATTTTTAAATGTATATTTTATTTATAAAAAAGTTATATTATTATAATTATTATAAACTATTTTTTTTTTAATTAAGATTAAGAATAATTGAAAATTTAAATCAAATAAAACAGATTTTAAAAATTATAAAAAAATGAGGACTTCATTTTAACACATTTATCTCATTTTAACACATTTATCATACATATCATACATACATATCATTTTACACAACTGTCATTTAACAGAAAAATTGAATGCATTTTGTGTGCTATTAACTGTTTTATGATGTCATGTTTTATTTCATTAACACGTTCATTGATATAAATATTTGTAAAAAAATAAATATTTTATTAAATTTGGAAAAAAAAAATTATTTTATCAAAGTTACCAATCAACATACATTATCTCTTAAAGAGCTGTTTGCATTCTCTGCAGCTTTTGAAATAATAGTTAGTGATTCTAAAGAAAATGATTATATTGAATCATTATAGAAAATTTGCTACACTTTAACATAAAATTGGAATTGTGAGAGTTTATATTCACATTATTAATATAAAAATATGTACCTTCAGCTTCATTATAGTCTGTAGAATTGATTGGTAATTTCTTTATATAATCTGAAGTAATATTGCATATATATATATAGACTATTTTAAAAATTTTCTGTTTCAAAAAAACTTGAAGCAATCATTTAAGATAAACCTTGTAAAAGCAGTTTATAGCGAGGAATCCTTTGTATTGGCTCCAGCATATGATGCTGAAGACCAAGATTTTCACATTGAGGATGCATCTAAAAAAAAAATTTTTTTTAAATAATGTTTGTGTCTAAAAAATGCTGTTTAAAAGTTTAGCTAAAATTTAAATTTAAGAGAAACAAAGTATTTGACATAGAAGAAACAAAATTTGTAAATAAAAGTTTTAGCTATTCTCGGTGTTTATTCTCAATATTTTCTTAAGTTGAAAAATCAACCCTAACCTTCTGTGTGTGAGTATAATGAAATTTTGAACTTTAAAAAGTAAAAACTCATCAAATTATGTAAAATTTCATCAAATTATTTAATGTTTAGAAGTGATGACTCTGCCAAGTATATATTTTTGGCTGTATGAGGAGAAGGAGGGGGTGGATATCATATTTAGAGACATCTCCCCCACCACCACCAGGGTGGTGGTAGTGGAGATGTCTCTAAATATGAATAGAAAGCATTCCAGGTGATGTAATGGGTTGCATTTCTAAACAGGTGCATTGGTATGGTTTGTTTAGTCTCACTATATATTAGTCACATCTCAGTTAGACGCCAGCGAAAATGGTAAATAAATGACTAAGACAATATTTGAAAAAGACAATTTCAGAAAACCAATAATGAATTATGGAAACTCTAACTTTAAACTTCACAAATAAAAAATGTGAATCGTAACATAGACTGAGATCAGTTATGTATGAGACCAGAATAAAAAATCTGTGAGCCAGTGCAGTCTGACTCCAAAGGAAACAGCAAAGATACATTCTTAAAATCTGCATTCTATCCCATGTCAGTTTTAATTGTGTTTTGTGTATAATTCAGTTATTTTTTGATCAAGTTCTTTTGCCACTTTTTTGAAGCTTTTCTCTTAACACCTTTTAAATTAAAACTTTTTTGAAAACCTATGGAAAATGCCAAAAGAAGAAGAATTTTTGAACTGCAGTAAATTATATCATCAGGCTTGGTCAGAAAGGGGATGCAATCACACTTTATTACTGACCATGCATATAATATTTAGTTGTGACAAATTAGCCATGGCTTTTTAGGTGTTTTGAGAACATTTCAAAAATACACACAAAAAAACTTAACTTGACTAACAAGAGACAACTACAAAAAAAACAAGATTTTAATAAAATTTTTAATAACCATTTCATGCTATACGTAGTTTGCAAAGTTTAAAATACTTGAAACAATTTTTTTTATTAAGATAAACAAAAGAAATAATTAACTCATAATTAAAACATTGAGTTACTATAGAAAAATTAAAATTATCTTTTCTTTTAGCAGTGTTTTTAAAATGTTCAAAAAAATTCCCCAACGTGCCAGATCCCTGAATCAGTGGTATCATAATGATTAATATCCAAACTGCAGACTATTTATACATTTAATAAATATATATTTTCTTAAATCCATCAGTTCATTATACTATAATATATATTATAAAATAATATGAAAGTGGCATATTACATTTAAAGTGAATTAAAATATTATTTGTCTTTTTCAAACTAAAAGGAATTTTTATTGAATCAAATTACTTGAAAGCAAACTTTTGCAAAAAAGTAAAAATAATTTATAAAGTGGAAGCGGAACTGCTTCCCAATATTGCTGATGATGTTTAATGAGTTGGTTTTTAAACTTTTGATGTTTATGTTCTGCATGGACTTCTGGCACGTTGTTAATTTATCTGTAACTCACTTTATACAAACATATGTTTGTGTTTTGTTAAAATCTCTGGTGCAGTGTTCATGTACTTGTTATTCACTATGTATATATGTATGTTTGTGATCAGTTACCTGTAAGTTTATTTGATTACCCTATAATTTTTTAATACTGAACTTACTCCTGCTGTTACTAATTCATGCGTGTTTGCATGTAACACACGGCAGTCATTACACTCGTGTTAATGGTGAGATGTAAATGTGAACCAAAGTGTATGCAAATATCTAACTTATGTAAACTTTAAATTATGTAATGTTAAAACAAATACCAAGTTTTACAGTTTTACATTTACTTAAAAACTACACTTCTGTGACATCTCCTTAACTTTAATTTACAGTATTTATTTACTGTTTTATAAAGTCTTTTGTTTATTAAATAGTGTTAAAACATTTATCAAACAACACGCATAAATGGTCAAAGTGGTTAGCTTTATTTAAAAACTGCACTGCAGCAATATTTCCTCAATTTTAATTTATAGCATTTATTTGCTTTTTTATAAAGTTATTCCATCTTTTGCTTATTAAATAGTGTTAAAGCTTGGTAGTTAAGTGTGCCATAGTGGCTGAAGCGGTTAACTCATTGTTCTTCTGAAGCACAAAGGAAGGATTCAAATCCTGTCACTTGCACATTTATTTTACTTTTTTAAAAAGTAAAATAAATGTGTAAGCAACTTTTTCAATTTTTTAATACAAAAAAAAAATTTTTTTAAAGTTTTATTGATGTTATATACATAACATATATATTCAAGATATATATATAGATAGATAACAAACAAAAGGGAGAGAGTTTTTAAAAAAGCATAAAATTTCTATAAAGATCAAAACATGTCATGATACTTCTGATATTATTGTGCTTAGTTAAGTCTGCGTGTTTAAAACAAACATTAGAGACAACTTTTTTTCTTATAGGTAATACATTTATTTTCTTCAAAATTAATTAATGGGTCAAGATTTCAAATAAGCTGTGGTTGTTCTATTTATAGAAACTTAGCAAAGAAAAAAATTAATAAGTCTGTACCCAATTTTTTTTTATAGAAGTTTACAAATTTACAATAAGAAGTTATAAAGTGTTGTCTTAATAACTTAACTCAAAACAAAAATTTGGCAGATTTTTATTTTTAACCATCTACTAAAAATTATTAAAATAAAACAACTATATAAAGAATAAGTATAGAAATGGACAGTGTGGAATAGACCATGACCTGTATTATATGGGTCATGATAAGTTCATTATTCCACATATTTTTAAGTTTCAATTTCCAGATTCCAAATGTTTTTTAAACTTTTTATACCAATTGTACTTATTCAACATGTTTCAATGATGATGTATTCTAAAAAGCATTTTATGTATTTTAAAAAGTATTTGCAACTCTTATGAACTTTTTGAATAGAAAAGAGGTAATTTAGCGGGTATTCTAAGTATTCTTTAGAATACCCGCTTCAGACATTGCTTTGTCTAAACATAAGTTGTTGGTTAGCAATGTAAGTTGTTGCTTTGTTTAAAAGCATTTTGCTAATATAGAAATATTTGGTTAAAAAAGATTAATGTTATTAAACATGTTGAAACTTAATTTTTTGGACGTACATGGAAACATAAATTTGAATGTTCTCAAAACATTTAAAAAAAACGTGGTCATGTTGTTTTAACTAAATATAATATGCATGGTCAGGATTTAAGTGCAATTGCACTTATAGACCATCAAATTTTATGGAGGTGAATTCTTAAAAGTGGTTTTAGTTGTAAAAAAAATTCTCAACAATTAATAAACAACTATAAAAAATTAAATATATTTTATATTTACTTGAATAAGCTCAACAGCAGTTGCAAACTTTGGAGACTTTTTGAGCCAGTAATTTAATGTTGAAACAGAATTGTCAAAGTTCTTAACAAAATCTGTGTATAACTGTAAAAACAAAAAAATAAAATATATAATGTAAAAAGTTTTTTTACATTATATATTTTTATATAAATTTATGATAAAATAAAAAAAAGTCAACTAATTTTTTATGATCTTAAAATGTTAACCAAGGAATTGTTTACTAAAAAAATATTTACATTAAAAATTCTTTTAAGTATAAGTAATTTCATTCAAAAAAAGAAAAATGAAAAACCTAAACAAAACTTTATGAAATTTGAAAAAGAAAAATGTATTGATTACCTGATTGCATTTTTGAAGATGATGAAGTTTACTCTAAAAAAGATAGAGTGATCCTTTGTATAGTAAACTTCATCATTTTCAAAACTGCAATTTTTTTTATAATTAGCTTAAGCAATTTTTAGCTTGCAGGGCTCAAAACCTAAACAAAACTTTATGAAATTTTTATATAATTATCTAAATAAATTTCACTATTTTAACAATCTACTAATTAAAAATATGATATTGATGAACAGCAGACTTACCACTAAGCAATGACCTAGTGTTTTAAAAATATCCCCAATCTTTGGGTTAGTTGTCCTAAAATTGTTTAACATCAAATTAAATATATTAA